ATGCGCGCCAATATCTCTCCGGGTCGGGTGACGGGCTCCGACTGCGCCAGATTGTCTCATCGCTTGAACAACGTAGCGTGTCGGGCGTTCGTCTGTCAGCGTATAATTCAGAATGAGGTGAAGCTGACCTAGAATGTAGATCGGGTTTCAAAGGAAGTGAAGAAATTTACTCTTTTCGCTTTCGCCAAAAAGCTCCTTAAAATTTGTACAAGACTGTGACTGGACAATTTGGTTTTTTTGGGGCTCATTAATTTTGGCTTCATTTATATTTGAAACGACTTCCTTGACCACCACTGCTATGTTAGAACTCGATTGATCCTGATTTTCTTTTTCATCGGAGCTTTCTCTAGCGTGGTAGATAGTTTTCGTTTGTTCAGCTGTATTTTTCACAGATTCGAAATATTGAACTTTTTTTTGCACTTCCTTGCTGGGACCACGGTATATTACGGTTTTATTCGAAATATCTGAACTAGCAGTCTCAGTTTCACTGGCTGAAGACTGACACGGTGTTTCTGTTTTCTCTTTTGGGTAAACGACATGTCGCTTTTGATCATTTTCAGGACTATTAACACTTTCTTGTTTTAAATTATTCTCTGAGTTTTTTTGAACCCCTACATTTACATCTGTACATTCAGATATTAACTGTTCCTTTATTACAGAATGTTCAATTTCTTCTTTTAGGGACATAGGGGGCTGTGTTTGATTGTCGAATTTGTTTATTCTGTTTAAAATCTCTTTACTTAATGTTTGTGAAATCTTTCTTTTTTCATTTTCGCTAAGAGTCATTTGAATCTTGTTGACATTATTTTTTAGTTCCTTCACCGATGTGATTGGACAAGAAATTGCAGCTATAGAGTCAGACTTGGTTAGTTTCGCTGGTTTTTCTCTGTCTGCGTTGTAATTGGATGTAATCAATGAATTGCATCTAACATGCAATGATGGATTTGCTTCTATTTTATCTTCCTTTACGTCAATAGTGTATTTGATATCCGCTTCTTTATTAGATTTTGATTCTAGTTCTTTGCTGTATATCGCATTAAGCTGATTTTTGAGTGCATTCACTTGTTCCATAGATAAACTGCTCCATAATCGACTACCCAAACCTATTTTTTTCCGAAGGTCATTTAACGAAGTTTCTGGTTGTAAAGTGACCGTAGGTTTTACTGTGATTCGCTGTTCTAGTTTATCGTTGTCGTTTTTTTTATTAATATAAAATGCTGTTTCAGCTACACTTGTTCCACGCCACAAAGGTTTATAAGTGTCTCTAGATTGGGGTTGCTCTAATTCCATCGAATCATATTGAGGTATCTGTTGAAAATGATCTTTTAAGTCTTCCACAGACTTTTCTTTTATTCGTAAACCTCTATCGGAGTCGTAATTCCAGCGAAAATCTTTTAAATCTCGGGGATAAAACAAAACATCTTTTTCAGTTTGAGCTAATTTTAACTTACGATATAAATTGTTTAATTCTTCTTCAGCCCTCTCTATGGCTCTTATTTTCTTCCAACGGTCAAAGTCAATTATTTCTTCATCTTTTCTTCTATGACGTAAATCACTTGTAGATGTAGCCTTTTCTAATTCAGCCACCCTTTCCAAGTAAGTGTAGTACCTATTTAATTCCCTGAAGCGTTCTGACCTCATTTTTGTGTTTTGCATGTCACGACAGTATTCATCGTAATCTGGGTCAGTGGCATATAAATTAGAATCACTTTTTGTTTTCATGGGAAGGCTTTCTGAGAGAATTTTTCTCTCAGCATCACCGGCACTTCTAGTACGAAATACACTTTTTGGAACTGTATCTGCATACTGCTTACTGTTTTGCAGACGAGCGCTGTGTATGCGCCGGTAGGATGGAGATCGTATGGAAACAGGAGATGTAGAATGACTTCTACTGACACTTGCTCTGGTTCCTTTTCTTGTAACCTTTGGGGATACTGGTCTTGAAGTTTGAGAAAAGAATATTGTTGAAGGATATTTATCATTATCAGATTTGGCATCAATGATTTCTAAACGAGGCAAGCGTCCAGTAACTACTGGAGATACCGGACGAACAGTCTCAGTGAACACAATTTTTGATGGTGACAACGATTTACGTTTCAATTGTGGGGGAGATACTTCACGTTTATGTGTAACTTTGGGAGAAACAGGCCTTCTGGTCTGCGTGAAAACCAATCTAGGTGGGGATGTAGGGTTCCTAACCACAATCTCTTTTGGTTTTTCTTTTTTATAAAACACAACTGTAGGTGACTTTGGACGAGATGTTTGAGAAAAATACATTTTGTTGCAAGGTGGTTCACTTTTACTTCTGACTGTCGCTAAAGACGAAGTCGATCCAAAATCGTCACATTTAGACAGACTGTCAAATTTACGTATTTCGTCATGCATTCTGCCGGGCCATGATATTGACCTAGGACTGCGGGCTCGAGATGGACTGGGATATCTATCCCACATTTTGAAACGGGATAAGGACACTGGTTTTCTATGAATTAAATAAGTATTGAGGGACTTTGGGGAAGCTGTGTCCTGAGGAAGAGATTGGAACATCCTTGCTTTTTGCAATACTGTTGTGTTTTGTTCTAACATTGGGTATACTAAAGTTGGCGTTGAAGCTCTTCCAAGGAATAAATGTTGAAAAAACGAGTCGGATACAACAGCATCATGTGATTTTTTAATTTCTTTAGAACTGATTCGTCTTGGTCCTAAATTTTCAAACGAACCGAAATTCGAAATTTCGTTCGAAGTATCGCCAAACTGACTACCAGATTCAGAATCATCGTTTGATTTCGTAGTACACTTTTTACTACTTTTAGGTTTGGGTGATTTCTTTATAGTTTTAGGATCTTTAGCTTTCTTACTGCATGCTTCGTGGCAAGGTACGCTTCGAGGTCTGACAATTACACTCTCCAAAGACTTTTTCTTTTTTAAGTTTGTTACTACTGCTGTTTTCACTTGATTGTTTTTTTTTAAATCCAGTTGAAATATTTGAAGTAGATTTAGAAATGCTCGATGACGATTGGAGCGAGCTAGGTTTCAGTATTTTAGGTTCATTTTTAATGGATAAACAAGGATTTGACTTTGTGTGTTGTTTTGATATTTTGAGCTTTTGTACTTTTTCAGCGGTACGAATCATATCTCTACTCTTATGAGTACTAGTTGGTGACGAAGATTTTGTGCTTGGAGCAATGCTTGACTTTATAATAGGCTTATGTGTACTATCTTTATCTTTAGACAGAGATTTAGCTCGTACTTTTGTTACATCAATGCGCTCATTTCTTTTTTCGCACTCCACAATTTATCAAGGGAAGTAACTTTGTCAAGTATATTCGATATAGGTGTTTTACGACCAGCTCCCCCTTCTATAATCACAGATGAGTGAGGTTCGCCGTACTTGCTGTGTACAGAGTTCGAATATTCCGTAGGTAACAGAATTCGGCGAGAAGAGCCAAAACTACTTGTACCACTCCTAGCTTCACTACCCATAGATTTCATTGAACTTTTTAAGTTAATCGTTGAATTATACTTTCTGTTCATGGCTGGTGGTGCGGATGTTGACATAATTCTGGATTTCGGCATTTTTTGTTCAAGTGTTACATATTTTTTCTCAGCTGACCATCCAGGCTTGCTAAGGATTTGTGTATTTTGTCGAGAAAGTTTGTGGTTTATTTTATCTTTCAGAAATCAACGTTGGATTGTGAATACGATGTTGACCGCTTTGGTGAAGTAGATACAGGTCTTGTTGAAGTCACCAGCTTCAGAGTCCGACTGTTCTTAGATGAAATCCTTCTAGGAGGCGCAGGTGGATAGTCAGATATTTTACTTGGTACATCAATGCTCAAGAAAGAAGGAGCGAGTCTCTTGAACTTAACTTGATCTCCCGTTTCGATACTTGTCACTGGGTAGCAAATGACTTCGTGTACCTTTGGCGTTTTCTTATGAACTCTTATCTTCGTCAGTGTTGAAGAAATCGGAATATATTCGATTTCCGATTCGTCTGTGGAATATATCACTTTTCAGCGATGATAGTCTTTCGGTTGCACTCGTTAGATGTGATACAAACGTGATTCTCGTGCTCCTGTTCTAATTGTGATCTCGTAAGCGATGTTTCAACTTTCTAACCGTGATACTACATTTGTGCCGCAAATTCAACCTAGTGACGTGTTCAATAAGTGCTAGTTTAATTTTGGAGTCAATTTGTGCTCATGCAAGTTTACCTGGTATTACAGCCGAAGACCCAGCACCTTATTATGTTTATGAAAGCATTTATAGGCAAATAATCGACTTACCTCACGTGTATAACAGTATAGACTAGTGTGTGCTATTGAAAATCGTCATTGTCATTATAGAGCGGCCTTGAGTTCGTACATCCGACTGTAGGCATGTTGTGACGAGATGTCATGTGTTGGGGATCTGCATCGACCTTGGCCGAGTTAATGGAAAATGCGATTTTCCATAGATATTGTCGTTTTAGATATTGTTAATAAACCAAATGTAACAGTATTGTACACTCTAGGGCCGATAGTAATAGTAAAGTTATTTAAGTAAGCATAAATTCTAGTTAGAGACGCCAACACCGAAGTGACCGTTATTTTAAAACCATGCTTTATTAGATTACCGTATTTTAATTAGTTTATTTGTTAAACATTAGTAATAAACCCTACATAAGAGTACGTATATTTATATTTATATTTAAAAATAAATTGGTTAACATATTTAAGAGATATGGCTCTGAAGCCATTATTTACACTTTTAATAAAATAGTTTCATAGATTTTACATTATTTTTTAAATTATATGACTTTTTTAAAGATTATTGCATAATAAAGGTAAGACTGTACAGTAAGCTTCTTTTTTTAACCTTTTAAAGTATCATGTAGTTATTTTAGTCAACAATTTAATTTCATTTAGAATTTTAATATAACCGTGCGATCTTACCCTTCAGAGACTTTATTTAAGTTAATTCGAATACTATACTTATTATGTTGTAATTACTACTATGCTGACCTTGTCGAGGTGGTGCTGGGGACCGGAACCCTCTGAGAGGAGGTTCACCACCAGCTTGCAGGTCTCTGTAGGCGGCTCTCCTCTCTGCTGGCGACAAAGGTGCCTCCGTATCTTCACGACGACGGAACACTAGCGTCGAATCGGATTCGTACCCCGATTCTTTAAGAGCCCTAGGAGAAATAAATGTGTTAGTTAGATTTAAAACTATTGTGGCAATATGTGAGGCTGAAGAAAAATTAGATTTATTCTTATCAACTTTTCTCTATCCTCTAACATTAATAGCTTATAAATGCCCACTGCTGAGCAAAACCTTTTCTCTATATGGTTTGTCAATCTGGGATCAGTCCCTTTTAAACGAACGGAATAGGAACGTCGATGTATGGGTTTGACGTACGTTTTCACATAATTTGTTGAATGTCAGTGTTAAACTTATAAGTACTTCACTTTTCTATTCACTCGTTCGACTAACGTTTAAATGTTATTTTTGTCTAATATTAATATTGTATAGGGGTAAAGAGTTCCCACTTGAAATTTTTTATCGATACCAATTTGAAGCGCCATCTGAATTTTGCGTCCGGTATTTTTTCTTTTTTACCTAAGTATTTGTTAAGTATTCTCATTAGCTAGCGGTGCTGAATACAACGTTATTGATTATCTTAAATTAGAATTCATTTAACTAGATATATGTATTTATTTACCTTGCCATATTTGATTTAGACAGGATCGTAGCCGTTAAATCTTTTTTCTCCTTCGGTGACGATTGTGGCAAAGATGTCGTACTTGAAATATTTTGCTGCAAAATAATTATTAAACATTAATACTCAATTACAGTAATTTAAGTAAAAACAATTCTAACACAGAACAAAAGGTCTCAGCTCACAGTTTCTAGTGAGTTTTCATTTAAAACATGCTGTAAAGCTTAAGAAATATATCACGGTCTAAAAAAACAATGAAATGTATAACAAAGAAGTATTTCATATAATAATATCATGCTCATATAAAAGAGGGAAAGCTCTAATAAATTACATTCAGTGATTACGAAATTAACTTATTTTTGACTAACCATTCTGCAATAGTTTGTTTGTAAAATGAAATACACCAGAATCATGCAAATAAAAATAAAATGATACCCATCACCAATACAAAATTAAAATCATAATACATTTTATTTTCAACCTATGTCGTTGCTCTATATCGAAATACGGTTAGGTTAATATTTTTCAAACAGCTACTTTTCCCCACAGTTAATAGTGATGCTCCTTGGTTAAGAGTGATTTTATCGATAGATCAAAATATGAATACCGAAGACACAATTTAATAATAGTTTCTTAACTCGTTGAGTACCGTATTTATAGACGGTGACCGCTCGGTGTTTGACAGTTTAAATTGTAGAATTACCTAATTAAAATAAAGTAATGTAAACGTATAACTAAAACTAAACTAAATATTGCCACCGGACGAGCTGTCAACGTCCTTATAAAATTACAAATCATCAGGAGTTTTGTAAGTTTTGTATTGTTACAAAACGATAAAAATAATAGTAAAAAAAAATATCGTAATTTGATGGCATATAACAAAAGACAATTATATAATAAACATCGTGCATGCAAACACAAATGCTCACAATACAGGCATACATTCATGTTAAGGGCCTTACACTCTTCTGTATCGCGCGAGCTAGCAATGTTGTGTAGGGGGGGAGTGGGGAGTTGTCATCTAACCACTGTTAGTGCCACCACCACACGACCCAGACAGCGATGGAAAACATACGTTAGTCGAACATAGTACAGCTGAACTCATAGCGTTATCATCATAATGGTGAAGGACACCAGTTGACGGCATATTTACAAAATATACTCCAATTATTATAAGCTAAGCCAACTGTTTTTGACATATAATATCGATTATTTTTGACACAATTTTCCAGTTAAACTCATCAAAATTATTATCACATATTTTTTTATATAAATCCTTAAAACAATTATTATGAAACCAACGGAAAACCAAATGTTATGAATTATTAATGGTTATTACAGATACACACATAAATAAATAATAAAAATATCGTACCCCGTCAAAAATGTCCATGACCTCGTCCCACCACTAGAAAAGAAAAAAAATATTGCAATGATGTTTTATATGAACGTGAACTCAGGCAGTTAGTCCGGATGGAGATGAGATGGTGGAGGGAGGTCTAATGAAGACTGAAAATTTTTTAGAACATCTTTTTTTTTTACCTAAAGCTAAAGATATCTAAAACGAAGATATGATTGCGTTGATACGACTAGATGCAAACTGTATTTGAAATGAAGATTAAATATCCATAATAGTTTCGTTTCTTTAGTCTACATCAACGAAGTGATACTTTTCTGAGATAATCGAAAGATGAAATTATGCCTTAAAACTTTTGTAACTAAGATAATTTATAATAGTTTTTTTTCATCTTCATCAAAAATCATCGAATGACTGCTCCTGCCTGGGTGAGGCGGGAGGGAGTGTCAGATTCTTACTGACTAAAATCACCCCGTTCCTTCTCCTGCACGCCGAGCCGGAGACCCGGTAACCCGTTAGGTTCTCCGCGACAATTTATAATAGTAGGCCAGGATTTAACAGTAGAAACGCAGTACCATCGAACACTTATAAATCTACGAGTTCATATAAAAATCCTTTAATGAATTCATTAAAGGATGATCGGTGTTTGGCGATTGAACTCCTGAAGCACTTTAAAGATGATACCATATATGTGATAATGAGTAATTATGGTAATGAACCCAATGAAATGCAGATAGATCGTTTGTGGAAAGTGCAAGATAGACGGAGTGAGGTTTACCTGTTTCGCTTCTTTGTCAACGACTGATGACTTTCCTGGAACGTAGTTCTCTATTCTTCCTGGCTGGTTCTTGTATACTTCTTGGCTCGCTCTCGCTGATGCTAATGTGCTATATCTGTGGAAAAGAGGATATTTGATTTCGTATCTTTTTTGAGAAAATTCTAAATAACTAATTGCTCAAGCTACCATTTTAAAAAAAAACGTTGCCCCAAACTATGATTTTCTTCTGTGTCATGGGTACACACAATCATACAAGTTCACATACACAATGACACCCAGACCCGAAACAACAATTTGTGCATCACTCAAAGTGTTGTTCCGTGCGGGAATCGAACCCGTGACACGTTGCACGGCAGCCGGTGGCCCAGCCATCACACCAACCGTGCAGTCAATACTAGTAATATAAGGCAAATAAATAATATTATTATAATTATGACAATTTATAGTTGCCACAAAAAACATTTTATAAAATTATTGGTTTTTGCAACCAGTAAATCACGATTCAAGCCATCTCAATAAACACCGTGTTTTGTCATGTCATAACTTTGAAGACAGTTTTATTTCTCCACCTAAGTAGCAGCGTGGAGAAGCAAAATTGAAGTAGATTTGTAGGACCGGATCACTGTCGCTTCGAACCAGCCTATCTTAAAACCTATGCTCAACAGTGGAAGTGTTTCAGCTGATATTCATAATGATGATGATAATTAAGGATCTAAAATGATGCTCAAACTGTTGTGGTTCTTTCATCAAAAGGCCACTACAGAAAGAACTTGCACGGTTCTCACACATAATCTTTTAGACACATTTGTCTAGACTTTAAAAGAGACAGACCTCTGAGTTTGTTTCGGCATTTCTTCTCAGAGTAGTCAGTTAGGAAATGTTGGCCTTATCGTTCGCTTGATAAAATTGACGTGTAAAAGTGCTGCCTTGTAGCCTATTTGCAGAAGTAAATTCACTTGTTTCACTTGATGCTGTATGAGTTTGGCATGAGACAAAAACATAGAGGTTACGTTTAAATGTATGTGAGACTTACTTATTGGTACTAGACGAATATTGTGAGTTAACATCATTGAATCTTCTATCTTCCTGCACTGAAGCTGTCCGTCTCCGAGGGCCAGTTGTCACGTCGCTGTCATAAGCATCGCTCCACGTGCTGCTGCCCAGCCTACTTAGACCTCCCTCCGGCTCACTTAGGTAACCGGAACGGGGGTCAAAGTAGGCGTACTGGGATTTATTGCTGAGCACTCTCTCTGGTGGTTGCCCTAAATAGAAAATATTTAGAAATTAGCTTAGAGTGTGTTTGGCACAGAATTGTTATTTGATGCAAAATTCCAAGCCAAAATCTTTGATACAATTTTTAAGGACAAAATAAACTCCATGAGAAAAAAAATGTATTTTCTTCTCTGTGTAATGAAATAAAATTAATAAAATAAACATTAATTCAGTAAATAATTCGGATATGGTGTTTAAAACTAATGGTATAGGTTTTTAAATAAAAAAGACACTTCTATAAGTATTCGAGTCTGCTAAGATTAATATTTTATAGCAATGCGTTGCACATTAGTGCGTAGTGATGTCCAGCAGGCGTTTCTTTAATACTTTTATTATTTAATTATTTTTGTTTAAAATACTATAGGTAATATGTTAATTTTTAAGCTTTTAAGCTGATGTTATAATAATATTATTACTAATTGTTAGGTAATTAAATTATCAATTATTTTATGTCATAAACTAATTAAATGATTTTATTTCAATGTGTGACGGTTAATTTATTTTTGTGAGTTCATTCTTATGTCATTTACAATACAATTATGTTTTAAAAAAGCAATGACTTATATTTACAATGGCGCCAAACTCATGGAAAAAAGCGTTTAAAAACGGCACAAAATATGCGATGTAAACAGCCACCGATGTAACAAAAAAAAAAAAAAAATTTGGAAAAAATAATACTAATAATCACCTCGACGACTTTTGTATCGAATAGTCACATAATCGTCTGAAAAAGAAAATTAACAAAAATTGGGGAAACCTCATTTTAACATTGAAACCTAATAAAATAAAAAGGTTAAAATTAAACAAAAATCGAATTTATGCTGCTGCACTTACCGTCGTATTTGTTTTTGTGTATAGTGTCGTACATCTTTTTGTACCACCTCGAGGGGTCTTTGACTTCCTGTAATAAGAGAATCACACATTTAATAAAGGCCTTGATATTATAACCTACATAACAGGATTCAGTTACAAAGGAACGATATATTTTTCTTTCTTTTCATTACTTTAAAAAAAAAGTTGCCCCACACTAGGATTTTCTCCTATGTCGTGGGTGCGTTTACAAACATACAATATCACATACACATGACACCCAGACCCGAAACAACAATTTGTGGATCACACAAAGAGTTGCTCCATGCGGGAATCGAACCCGCTACACGTTACGCGACAATCGGTTGCCCAGCCACCGCGCCAACCATGCAGTCTGACTGGTAGTGGTTTAATGTAAAGAGCTGAAGGTGCAAGATGCAATAAACAGAAACCAGCTGTTAATGACAGTTATTGATAAGAGATTTAACATCACGACAAATCACTTACGTAAATAAGTATTTTATGAAGATTGGACCTAACCAACTATAATGGAAACGATTAAAAGAAAAAAAAGCAATAACCTTGGTACGAGCCATAGGATAATAAGGATGAAACCGAATAGTGAAATGACAATACGAAAGAAAGAACTTCAAAGGGATTTATGTAATAATTATACTTATTGCCATAAAAATATATATACTTACAGATCTTAGTGCGACTGGCATTCCGTCTTTGGTGATGGGTCCGATTCCTTCTACTTTTCTTTGGGCATCCGCCATTTTACGGATCCCTCCGCGTTCGTAATCGCTTCTGTCGGCCTCGCCTTCGCTCGCGTATTCTTTTCGAAGAGCATGAACTGGAAAACATATTATTATCGTTTTAGTTTATTAAAATTCTACAGGGTAAAACGGGTTGAATAGAATACGAGCGGTGAATAGGTGATATTTGGATTTTTTTATAGTATCTTTTCACCCCAATCCCGTATCTATAATATCTATTCACCCCTCGAATTTAACACATTTTTACTAACAAATTCCATTTTAATTCTTAATATCTGGTTAATATTTGACATAACATGTTTATAATTTAGTTTTTAGTGTCTTAAAATGTTTTTTTCTTGTAATAAGAAGCTTATCCAAGTTATCTATAATAAAAGTGACTACTACGCGCCTGAATCCTGCGTGGGCAACTGGCTTATACCCACGCGAGGCTTAAACATCTGACTTTTCCTACTTTTGTCAGAAAACTCAAATGTCTTGGGTTTTTATATATCATTCTACAATATTTTACTATCAACAGTATATAACACTTTGAAATTACACAGAAGAGTGGTATAGTTAGTTGATTTCTATATTATAAGAAGAAGCTTTGTGCTTCTTATTAAGAATAAGTAATGTATTACCTGGATCGCCTCTTGGTGGAGATGGACGGTCACGCGGCAGTCTCGCCGCGTCTCGCTCCTGCTGGATGTAGTTGGAGCCACGGGAAATATGACCTTCTGGAAATGAGAATACAATCAAATTAGATTACTATGGCACCGTGAGAACGTATCTTTTGGTAATTTAAATTATTTGTTACATTTAAGTAATAATTGATTGAGATAAACATAGAGGTTTAATGCAGATGACGAATGTACATGAGTGTGAAGGAAAGAGAAGAGCTGGGTGAAAGAAAAAAGTCGTGGCTACGCAATATTCGACAGTGGACTGGTATCAGCTCTGTGGAACAACTTTTCCGCCTGGCCAGTGACAAGGACCAATAGGGTAGACGACTAATTTTTATTTTAATGTCCGTCTGATAGATTATTTAAAAACATTAGACACGTATTTTTTATTTTCTCACAGAAACGAATAGTTTCGAAGATATATTGATTTGAAATGTAGCGTGACGTCACTTCTCAGTACATTTTATACTAAGGAATGACGTTTTAGCCCCCACTCCTAAACTTTGATTCGTTTTATCTAAGTATTGTTTTATTATACGACAAAATAAAAAAATACGTGTCTAATATTTTTTCATTACCTAACTTACGGACTAATTATATTTTTAATTTTCATACCCTGTCATCATCCCCATTCAAAAAGTTGACGGCCAACCTTCAAAAATGAAGTGGCACCATAAGACGAAGAAGAATGTACATCATATATATCTCTATCAGTGGTAATATTTGTGAAAACAAAACGCTACCAGAGGCTCTGGGAAGTATCTAATAGCTAAGAATGTTAACACATAACTTTTAGGGTCAATGTTCTAACAAAGTTAAACAAAGCTGTAAAAACATACAGTTCACATTGATATCTTTTCCCAGCATATATTTTGTATCTCCCAACATCATTATCAGCTATTTTCCTCAGTTGTTATAGTTGTAACCTTCGGGTTGTCATCCTTACTTGTATCAAAGTCTATGACTCGACGCGACCCTCGTCACCAGACGTTATGGATGGCATAATATCTTTTTCAAATTTATACATTGGCTGCTTATAAATAGAAGAATATGTCGCGTATTGGATAGGACAGGTATCTGATGTGTGGATTTATCCAACCTGATATGAGAGTACAATATTTTAAAGTATTCATGAAAATGCCCTGTTAGGATGGGATGGAAATAATACGCGTTAGAGGGCGTTGCGAAGGCTCGCGTCTGGTTTTTGTGATAAGGTGTAGTTGACATAAAAAACACTTAATAATGAATTGTGGCTCCATTCTAACGGGTAGGGGCTACACTTTATATAAAGTTAACTTGTGGGAGTCTGGATAGTTAAGACTAGACTATATTATTAATTTCATTTCTTTCTGGGTGGATCGAACACATATAGAAGGACAAAGTGTTTATAGACATGCGATTTTACGGATTTTGGACCAGCTCTCTGTACACTGGCTGCCTGCATAGATAACTACAACCAAAATGAGCGTTTTAGTTGATAGATGCAAGCAAGGAATAAAAAAGGCTTTATTGAGTGACAAAACTAGGCTAATCTAATAAACTCAAACACGAATGGTCTAAGTAAATAATAGTATACCAGTCATCAATACGCATTCAAAACTTTGACTTCCATCATCGATTGGTACCTGATTTTATAACGATTACACTATAATCGACATAAAATAAAAGATAGTCACACTCATTCAGTTATCAAAAGTACTAATCAGTATTCGACAGGAACAAATCGTTATTTTACGGTTGACTGAAGGTCAGTCAATATTGTTACATGACGTGATATTTGTCTGGATTGATATAAAAATAACGATTGAATAATAGTTTTACTTCAGCTTCTAGTGTCATGGCTTAAGACACATGTGGATAGTGGTTGTTATAATGTAAGTGGTCAAAATAATTTGTACTTATAGTTTAGAAAGAAAAAGCATTTATTTGACAAGTAGGCATATAAAAACGAAGATTATCACTACATAGTATAAAACAAAGTCGCAATCCGCCGTCTGTCTGTCCCTATGTATGCTTAGATCTTTAAAACTACGCAACGGATGTTGATGCGGTTTTTTTAATAGATAGAGTGATTCTTAAGGAAGTTTTATATGTATAATATATGCTTATTGCAGCCGTGGGAAGCAGGGGCGGGTCGCTAGTAAAAGAATAAACATAAAAAATAGATCCTTGTATAATACAAAATAATAATAATTTTAAAAGAGTAAAGAAAATGAACAAAAAAACAACAATAAAGTATAACAAAATATATTGTGCAATACAATGATAACAAAATTTAAATATTAAAAAAAAACGATGTTATTGTTTACGGACTAAGACACACTACGGGGTAATACTGCTGCGGATAAGTAGTTTCTATTATTACACAATGATTACTTAAGAACAAGTAAGGTTGTATCCTTAATTCTATTTCTCTATAGTCTAGAACTACCTACCTACATAAATCTACACGATTTAATCTCTAATCAGTGCATCACAGCAAAACCCCATCCATTTACAAGTCACCAAGGTACGTCAGTAATTATAACTTTTCCGCCATTTAAAATTCGGCCTGTTGTCTATGCGTAAGCCATTTAATGAAAGTTTCGCGGCAATTAGCTCCCGTTGCCGACGAACGTTCCGGAATAAATTATAAACTCTATGGTCCTTGATCCGACCGTATTTCGTGAAGTGTACTGCCGCTCTGGGAGTGTTATTGTAAATCATCACGACCTTTTTATCCTCAAATGGGTATGTTAGGAACTCAGGTATTTTTTATTTTCGTGTGTTTTTAGATGTAACTTATACCCAATTTATTTGTCGCGGAGAACCTAACGAGTAACCGGGGCTCCGGCTCGACGTGCAGGAGAAGGAACGCGGTGGGTTTTAGTCAGTAAGAGTCTGACACTCCCTCCCGCCTCACCCAGGTGGGAGCAGTCATTCGATGATTTACCCCCTTAAAAAAATACCCAATTCATTTAACACGGATTATACGTTTGTAATGAATATAAATTCTATTATGTTGTTCGCGACAAAATATTTAGTTTTTATTGATTAACTAGCTTCTGCCCGCGACTTCGTACGCGCAATCCTGTTTCCCCCGTTCCTGTAGGATTTTCAGGATATTTTTTCTTAATAGCCTTCACCTAATAATAAAAAATACGACAAAAAAGAATCAGTGAAATCGGTTCAGCCAATCACGCGTGATGCCGTGACCAAGGGAAACATGGATTCATTTTTATATAAAAAGAAATATATATAAAATCATTTCCAATTTATTGAAAATCCACTTTGAACAGCTTACACGTGGAAAGAAACTTTCTAATGAACTAAATATGAACTAAAATAACTTTACATACATCGTCAGAATTTGTGGCATTTTGTAGAAATCTATATAATATAGGAAGTATTTATGACAGCGTATCAAGTTCATTTATAAAGCCAGAAATTGGATACGACACTTAATATTTAGAGGCACTTTCAGGTATATTTTTAAAGGGCTGAACGTGAGGTGTGTTAAAAATCAATCAACATTTTGAGAGGCCAATATATTTTGTTTATCTCACGGTGATGGATATGACAAGCTATAAATTGTTATTAGAGCCTTTGTGTTTAAGTTATATGAAATTGAAAGTCTGAGCTTAGCTATTTTTGTGTGAGATTAATGTACTGGTATCCTTTCTATTAGTCGTGGTGACCCGGAGGTTTAAGACGTCCACTTCTCTTGCATGAGGGTTCGAAACCTACCAACGGCAAGTACCAATGTGACTTTTTCCGAGTTATATATACTTTCTAAGATTATTCAGACACCACTGACAAACGGTGAAGGTAAACATCGTGAGGAAACCTGGGCTTATAATTTCTAATTATAAGTTTGAAATCACCAACCCGCATTGAGCAAGCGTGGTGATCGATGCTCAAACCTTCTCTGTGTGAGAAGAGGATTTGCTCGGCAGTGGACATTTATAGGCTGTTGATGATGATGATCTTTTCTATTAAGTAACATAGATTCAAGTATGTTCGCGTTTGACCTTGAATGGTAAACACAAGGGTCATAACAGTCGAGCAGTCGGCCCATCACATACTCTGGGAGTGTGATCTCTGGCAATATGAACGTAACACTATGTTGAATAATTTAATTGTTTCGTCAGGTGTAGCTTATTATACGGACCTTGTGGAATCTAGAACAAATTTCCGTGCGTTTAGGCGTTTTTGCCATACCTATTATTGGAAGCAAGTATAACAGCTCACACATAGGACCCACTTAGTTTTTTAGTCAAATTTCCGTGGTGCTTGGCGGCTGGGCTTCACCCAGTTGTACAGCCTCTTCTTTGTGCCTTTAGGCTTAATTCATTCTGTCTCCTGCAGTAATTCACCGAGGGAAGTGGAAACTATAGTTTTTTCTTCTCCTCTTATAATATCTTCTGATTCATTTCGTTGCGGGAACCAAGACAGTTACTCATGTCCCTGGGACGCGCCGGACTTCAGTGTTCCGGTGTTTTCATGGTTGTATCTACTGTAGATCCTGGCTTACAGGAGTTGCAGCGGTTTTGGGAGGTTGTGGCGGGCTTGTCCCATAAAAACAAGGGTCATAATCTTTATTGTACTGAGCTATTATTGTAATTTTGGTTAATTTTATTAATAATTGTCTACGGGTAAAGAACTAGCAAATGAGCTCTTTGCTATTTTCACAAGGAGGTCTTGTACTAGGTTTTTACAAATAAGTAGTACATAACATAACATCACGCCTTTTATCTCCGAAGGGGTAGGCAGAGGTACACATTATGGCACTTAATAACACTGTAGAATGTACAATTGTACACTTCAATATTTATATTGTGAGTCCCATGTAATAGGGAGTGAGCTTCTTGCCATACTTACCGAGCACAATTCCAGACTCCGTGCTACTACTGGGATTTTTTTAAAACCCAGAAAATAATACTTGGCAGTCTCACTCGCGACCACTCGGCCAGAGAGGCAGACGAAATACGTAGTACCTACCTACTTTTTGAAAGTCTAGGTATATTTTACCATTAAACTAATGGCTATTATCCCTATTCAACATAAAATAAAACAATGAAAGCGTACTTATTCCAAACTTGTAAGTGTTTCTGACAGAAGAAGGCTAAAGTTTCATTAAAAGTGCTCCAAAATTTGAAAGATCAAAATTCTTGTGAAACAGCTCAGTAGGTCAGTAGGTTATGAAAACTTCAGGCTATGAAATACGTGCTTCTTGAAAATCAGACTTTAGTAGGTCCATTTAGGGTTTGTTTTAGATATCAGCCTGAATATGAGTATAGATTTGTGTTGTTAAGGGCTCTTGTTCAGTTTTCCTTCAATTAGTACTTATTGCTTAATGCTTGTTTTTCTTGGATTGGATTAAAGTATACTTAAAGAAAGATACTCATACACTCAATATTAAATTAAGTAGATTCTTAATAAGATGAAGTATAGAAAGTCTCACTTAATCTGCGAATTTGTATCGAAAATGTATAGAAATAATAATTTGCAAGACTCGGTAAACGAATCTTTTAAAAACTCTCAATTAGACTTACGAGGTAGCCGAAGAAAAACAATTTAAATTAGTCACTTAAAACATTTAGCTTTTATTTTACTTAGTTAAAATATTCTTGAACTTAAGCTGGATTAATTATAGTCTTAAGGCGCTTACATCAGTACCTCGAGTTAGTATTAACAGGGAACTTTTGGGGTTCAAAACGGGCGATATAATTTCCGACCGGCCAACATAAACGTCCTTGGCGATTCATTAACACAACTGTAAATGCAGAATCCAAATTCTGAATAGTTCCGAAAATATTGAAATGTTATTATGGACTACTGTTTTTCTGGTATATTTTGTTTTTATGGAGTTACTAGAACATTCTTTTCGATGGGAATCAAAGCTTTGAAATGTTTAGACTTCAACAAGAACAAGAAAAAAGTATATAAGTATATAAGCATAATATTTTTTTAATGGCATAACCCAGTTAACGAGCAGACGGATCACTTGATGGTAAGGAATCGGCGTCGCCCCATACACCTGGAACACTAGAGGTATTACAAGTGCGTTACCGGCCATTTGGGGATTAGGAGTTTGAGGATCGTTGGGGATTCAGGGATTGGGGAGATTGGGGAAGGGGAGGGGTAATTGGGCATCCGGTAACCTCATTCACACAACAAAACACAACGCAAGAGTTGCTTCATGTGAGGCTGTGGTATTACTCCGGTCGAGCCGACCCATTCGTGCCGAAGCATGGTTCTCCAACAGTAGGATCCAGTAACGAAATTAATCAAAAGGGAAAAAAAATAATTTTAATGATTTCTTACCTCGTGCCTTCTGTAACAACGTAACAGTGGGGTTCTGTGCCTTGGGTAACCGGCTGCCGAAGGTGGAGCCACCCAGGTTGCTGAGACCAGTGACAGGCGCACTGTGAGATGTCCTCAGACGACCCTCGCTCTCAGATCCACTTGTGGCGCCGTTCTGTTCTGAGTTCTGCCGAAGAATATTATAAGGATGTTATCGATTGGAACACTGTAGAAATATATGTTAGAGACAGACCGCCAACAAACTTATTACCATGTATTTGAAAACTAAATAGAGGTAGAATGAGTGACTTTCTCCTTAGGTACTGGTTTTTAGAGGTGTGCCCCATTGCAATACATTAGGTATAATTTGTTTTTCAAAAAGTAACTGAAAAGTGCAACAACCAACTCTAACTTGTTCAACCAGTGGCAGTGATTCTTGCGTAAGAGTTGAACAGCATCAAGTTTACAGATTTGCTGCGATTTTTAAAACACTATCCAAGTTACGAAGATTTACTTAATATTAAAAAGTACATAAATCTGTAACTCGATAAAATACGACTCCTTCGTTTTCAGTATTCTTAGAAGACGGCATGAAACTTTATAGCTTTGATGTTAGGTACTTTCTTTTTGAAATGTGGCCCAAAAAACTTGTTAAATAAAAATGTTGGGCGTGTTTACTTGAATTCAATTATTCAACTTTCAAGTAAGTGGTTGAAAGTGCTTAAACAAAATTCTAAGATTTTACGATTCTGTTATGAAATGGCTGAAATTACTGGCCATTTCTCTAAAGAGGCTCGTTTGAATTACGATTATTAAATATTCATAAAAGACCACTGAACACTTTGACGGTCGTGTTGCAATAAAATTTTAATTCAACTGGAATATTAATTAATTATAATGTGATAACCTTATTACAGTATATAATTCTGTATTTCGTTCAACTCCATAAATTTCATTTAGATATATGATGCGTAATTTAAACTTTATTGGGATGAATATATAGTTTAATATTCTTTTTAGTTTCATGAAGCTATAACCTTCATCAGGTAATTATAAACGACAGAATGATGTTCTTCTGTCTAATAACGTAGTCCTATTGATTTCCCTAGAGAAGACGAGTACTTAGGTAGGTATAAAATTAAAAACAGACATATTCCTATTTGTATAGGCAAAACAGTGTAGTTTATGGCCCCTAAATATATTTTACGAGCCACAAATCGTGGTTCCAGTGATCCATGAAGGTTGGAACGAGGACATAATATTCACGTAGAGGATCAACCCAAACTCCTATATGCACTAGTTAGAAGATCCGTGTAAGAGATGGCGCTGGTGTAGTTTTTGGATAGTAAGACTTTAACAATATTAGCACATGTTTTCTAATCTAATATTGTTTTGTATTATTTCGTAGTTCATGTGAGGGTTGCAAGAAAATGTCATTAGGTATGTCTAAAAATCAGGAAAGGTTAAGGATAATATATTTATTTGACATTTCCAAAGCTAAGCCACATTACATTATTGTATGTGGCAAACGTAATAATTTTTTTCTGTCCTTATTTTAACATCGTGATCAAATAGCCATACTTACTAGCACAAATATGAATAGATGAAATTGGAAAAAGTTTGCATAGGTGAGATTCTATAAGTCTTTCAACGCTGAGTTACCTACACACGTGGCTAAACTGGTCTTTGTAATAATAACCGTTCTACGACACTGCTGTTGTTGGCACACCTCGCTGAAACGGTCACGGTCGTCATCAAGAACTGAACAGTAACGTTTCATATATTAGCTTTATGTACACTGTGGTGTGTGTGTGGATTGGATACAGTTTTAAAAATAACTGTATTTGTTCTTAAATTCTGATTAAGGAGTTTCTATTTTTTCTTTTTCTGTAATGATAGAAACTATACTTTTACCTAATAAGTTTCGGTTTTTGGACGATATAATACTGATCTAGTTTGACAAAAGTGAGCAATTTGTAGGTGTACTTACGGTGTACTGTAAGTTGTATAACCTCGAAAATACCTAAAGAATATCATTTGTACCAACACGACTCGTATGGTATTGTCTTAAACTGCATTCTGAATCACATTCCTCTTGACTCAGCTTTAGGTTTACATTATAAGACAAATCATACCGGGAATTTACGGCGGGCGGGTGGCGTTTCTTCGAAGTGCACTGGCCTGAAGGTCTTGCGCGGTGTTTGGGGCGAAGCGCCCGCGCTGCCCGGCGTCCACACGGGCGGCGGCGGTGGCGGTGGTGGTGCACCCGGGCTCCGCGCGGGAGTGCCAGCTACCGGGGGCGGCGCGCCCGGCCTCCAAATAGCTGTAATATAACAAATTACATTAAAGAAGAGCTAGTGAAGACATCAATAAGTTAAGGTACTTCGGTCAGCCAATTGATTTGAATCTTCATTGCTCTTATTTTAGAACTGAAAACCCATTGAAGGCCTTTGATAGATTAGACCCTATATACACGTGCCAAACTAAATTTTAAAGCAAGACTAGTTTGCTTAGCAACGTTCGATTTGTTGATTGATATTTCCTCTTGGTTACTGACGGTAGATACTTTGTTGATGAAGAAGATGAGCGTTATCAACGTTGTTTGCGATAACGTTTTTATTTTAATTGGTGGATCAGTCATAAAAGATTTCCTTATGGACCCAAGTTGCTTAACAATTACAATTTATTCTAAAAGCGTTTTATTACGCTACAATAGGGTAAATCCCAATTAAATAAAGAATTCGAAAATTCAAATTAATTAGAAATGTCAAAAACTATACTTTTTATTAATTTTGTATGAAATACTATGAAGACGTTTTTGCGTCAAACGGCATTTACGTATCATGAAAATAGCGAAAAATAAAACGAAAATAAAGAATATCGTAAACACTAATAATGATTGTTTGTGGACACTTTGTTGTATTGAAAAGTCCAATAATTATTTATTGCTCTTTGTAAATAGATAGTTTTAGTATTCTGTTATTCTTTGTGAATAGTTCTTAAGTTTTATAGTTTTAAATCTTTATATATATAATGCTTCTGTGAGTGTGTGCCACTGAACTCCTCTTAAACGACTGGACCGATTTTGATGAAAAATTTTGTGTATGTTCAAGGGGATCTGGGAATGGTTTAGATTCACAAATCAGCCCGGCAGATGGCGCTGCAGTCGTTGTTTAGGTTATTTATTCTAAACAGCTGAACTAATTTGAATGAATTTTTGTTTATACACTCAAGTGGATATGCAGGACAACGTCTGTTGGATCCGCTAGTGTATTATATTAGTAAAATGGATTATTTAAAAAAAGTATAATATCCGTAGTCTTATTTATTTTGGCCTATTTCTAGTAATAAACAACCAATCAATCTACATAGTTCAATGAGCCTTCTGTTACACTATCTCATATGCACCTCAATTCAGGTGCAGTCAGCTGCTCCTAAATTAGGCGTGAGTCACTCGGTTGGCTGAGACTGAGAGCAGTGTAGTTATATCTGGGTTTACAGCTTCATGTGTCTGACCTTACAGTTTATATGCACGTGGGAAGACCGTAACAGTCTTGCTTGTTTAGGAGTTTCTTAGTACATAATTATTGTTGATGTAAGTACATATATAGGTAATACAAATTAAGAAGTTATAAATAGGTAAATAATCTTGTGTATGCCGCCCGCTTGTCATGCATGAGAGTACGGTTTCGAAACCTACCAACAGCAAGTACTAATGTGACTTTTTCCGAGTTATATGTACTTTCTAAGATTATTTAGACACTACCTATACCTTCGGGGATAAAAGGCGTACTGTTATTTTAAATGTAAGTGCCTCTAATGAGTGCTATTCCATGTGGTTTTCTATTATCGTCTTAATATTATCAATGTCAATTAACTCCATAGATATACATATATATCTAGTTAATGAAAGAAGATACAACGAATTTCGAATTTATTTAAGGTAAGGTTCTTTTATGCCTTACTGCTTACTAGTTTAGTATGTAATTACACTTTTGAACTAAATACTCCTTTGACTTGCTTATGGAGCAGTTGATGACCCGCTGGTTAGAAGGTTAAAATATTACGTTACTAGATCGAGGTGTGCCGGACATTAGTACGTCAAGCTGTTAATGCCTGTGAAGGCTAGTTTAAAGCTAATTTATATTAAAGTTAATTAGAATTAGGTGTTCTGACTAATACAGTCTGTAAACGGTTTTATTAAAAGAGACTGTTGTTGTAATAATAATAGAAATTGGTGCTTACTTCAAGTAACATAATGCACATACATATATGTTAATATATTGAAAGTGTATTGTTACCTACCTATTGTTAAAGTAAGTATATTAACGGACTGCCGCATTGGCCGAGTGGTCGCAAGTGCGACTACCGCAAGGGGTCTCGGGTTTGATTCCCGGGTCGGGCAAAGCATTACTGGGATTTAAAAAAAAACACAGTAATAGTACGGAATCTGGAATTGTGCCGGGTCACCCCCTATTACATGGGACTCATAACATAAATAGTGAAAGTGGGTGTAACATTGTACAGTGGCATAATGTACACCTCTGCCTACCCCTTCGAAGATAAAACGCGTGATGTTATGTTATATTAGTTAATGGAAACGTACCGTAGTAAAAATGTCTGATAGAAAAATAAGACATGTCGCGCTGACCCCAAGTAATTTAGCAAAAGAACACGTAAAAGAAGAAGAGGTTGTAACCTTAGAATATTTAGGTTTAGAAGAAAGAGCCAGTTTATTAATAAATATGAAGTAAAGCTTTTGTGGCCAATCATAAAATAGGGCTCGTAAAATATTATAGTGTTTCGGTCCGCTTAGAAGCGCCAGGTTTGTTGTCAACATGTCAATTTCGAAGCCAAATATACAATAGTATAAATAAAATTTTGTCCTTGAACAATATATGTATACTAGCTTTTACCCGCGGCTTCGCTCGCGTCACAAAAGAATAAAAAGTAGCCTATGTGACATATACCAATACACACAGCGCCATCTATACCAATACTTTTGTTTTTCCTCGGGAGATCAATTTTTCCGGGTTAAAATGTACCCTATTATTTAATCCGGACTTCTAACTTTACGTCTGCAAAAATTCAAAGCAATCGGTTGAGTAGTTACGGCGTGAAGGTGGAACAAACAAACAAACAAACAAACTCACTTTCAGATTTATAATATTATATATATAGTAAGGATATTTAATAGTTGTATTAAAGTTTAAGTTTTACAAGTTATTCAGAAACTATTTCGGTTTTATATGACTTAAAGTATTATTGAAGTTATGCTGAGAGAACCAAGTTGTACTATGTTTCCAGTGAAAAATATTCATTAAGTAGAAGTTCAAATTTTGATGATATTATTGTAAAAAAAAATGTAGAAATGACTTCTATGATACTAGCAAGATGTGCCATTGTCTAAAGTCTGTCCAAACAATACGGCCTTCATAAAACGTATCACATACTCGCGCTTCCATTCGAAGGCTGAACGATATACCTGCTCCATTCAATTTGGACGTTTTTACACGGAGAGCTGCATTTTACGATCTTGTAATAAATCTCGGCGGGGCGTAGAATCGAAGTGTGTTTACTCGGTCGTTTTTAACAAATTGGGTTAGTGGTACCGCGCCCTGCTGTCGACGTAATCGCTTAGCCTGTTAGGACTGTGATGTGATCACGCCCCAACTCGAATCTTCACATATTTACCTTCACTCACGCACTGATAGCTTCGCACACACGTTTGCTAATCAAAATTGAAATTGTTCCGGACCGAGCGTCAATGTCAATATGCCTTTAATAACGTTTACTGGCATTCTAGCCTCATTTCATATTAACAGTGCTCTCGTCCAGATTGCTTTCTATAATTACACAGATTAAAACATCGAAATAATATGGTCTGAAATCCAAATCACATGGCGCAGTCGAGGGATTAAATCGTATCCGATAATTGGTTATTTATCTAAAAGCCCTGGGATCGTGCGCTGACATCAAAGTGAGAAAGTGAACGCAAATAAAATTAAAAGTGCGCTGAAAACGAATCCAATTATGGCACAACGGAGAAAAAATCCCTTTTTGCGTCGGTGTTGGTCCCCCTCTATTGCAGTGTACACCGTACAACGTCCAGGTGAAATGTGTGTGTGGATTTGTGAGCTCGTGAGACAACTCTTAGTTTTTTTGCTAACGATATATGTTGCAGCGTATAAGCTACACATTGTTTACAGTTTGACTAGTTTTTGGGGCGAGTTGATTGGGGCGGTACAAATATGCGCGGAAATTCATAGGTGGTGAATTGGTTTGGTTCTAATTCTGATGAATTGTATGACTGACTGAAGCTTAAAACAAATATCAAGTAGCAACTGTACAGTTTATTGTAAAACAGTTTTGTTCGTATATATGTATGTAGCTAATGTTGGAGAGTGGACAAAAGCAGTTGCATGTTTATTCAACAGTGTAAGTTCACAGGGCAAGGACGGAAAATTATAGAATGTTATAGGTAGTAAACTTTTAAAAAATTCAACACATTTGATTTGTTTGAAATAAACAGTTGCAATAAATCTAAGGAAACTGTGTTTCAATTAGGTATAGGTGTTTTTTTAAAACACCTACAAACCAGTAAAATTCCAACTCTGAATTATAATTCCAACAAACCCAATTACATAACTGGACCAGTGACTCGGTTTGTTCTTTCCAAAAATGGTGAAAATACCTCCTACATCACGTTCTTGCGTTTCACAGAGCCGCTTTATTTTTCGTTCGACCATTAGGGATTCAAATCACAGCGGTGGTCGTGCCGGCGGCTAACTTACAGCCTTTACTTCTAATTGTATTATGAACTCCTGGTACCAAGCTCGTATTTTGGACAACACATTGTTGTTTATTATACTGTCTTGTTTTTTTTCGGGGTCTTTAGATGTTTTTTTTGTATACTGAAAGTATATTTGGTGATAATCCGAATCTTGGATGAAATTGGTAAAAAATCACAACAATTTGTGATAGTCAATCAAAGTGTGATAGTTGGTTATATATTTTGTGGATCTAGAAATATTTTTACTCAATTTTGTCTTGACAGAATATTTTACATTGTGCTTGAGTTACGGAAACACAATTGTAAAATTCATTACTTCAGTTCTTCAACCACAAATGAAATGATTTCTAAATACACAACCAAAAATTGGATAAAACTAATCACTATCCTATAAAACCAGTATCTTTAATAAGCAGAATTTCACAAGAATACCTTGTAGAGTTTTATTGGTACAGCAGGAGTTACAAAAACTTTCCTTTTTCAAATCAAGATAGAAAAGTGAGTAAACTAGAAAAACTTAGTCGATATCGCATCGAACTTTTATATTTCTTTTAAAGTTTATAATGAAAGATGATAAATGGTGCGATCTGAATTTCAACATTAATGTAATATGATTTTTAA